CATAATTATTTTGATCAAAATATCACGAATTAGTTTAACTGATAGACCAAACGTTGGGGGGACCAAAATTGCACATGTTCTTTTATTTTAATCATATTTGATATCCCAACCCTTTCTTTTATATTTACGCCTCAATTATTTGAAATATGAAACTCAATTAAAAAATAAAATCTACCACAATATTTGACATGTACAAAATTCACTAAATAATGTTGAAAATTTCACCCATTTTCCAATACAACAATTTCACCCTTTTTTTATTAAAAACTTATGTCGCTTGACGTGCTAAATCCGACAGTCTTTTAAGTTAATTAAATGACGTTTCAAAATTCGAATAGCAGAAATAGATGCAAACAGATTTTTTAAATCAATAATTACTTTTATAAGATGTTAAACTAAACAAAGGCCGTTTTAAACAAAAAATCTCATTCATTTTACAATAAGATGCAGTTCTCAAATTGTTGAAAAATTATTTGTTAAAATTGTTATGTAATTTTTAATGTACAATATAATTTTATAAATATAAATTTATTGTGCAATATAAAAACAAAATAGTCATATACAATGTCTATCATAATTATCCCGAAATGAACTTTCCACCGTAGACGTAACATATTACTTCTGCTTCTGTTTAAATGCATTATTCTTTAACCCCTATTGCTTAAATGCTTCTGCCTTGATTAGAGTCAAAATGTTTGACTGATACTTTTTTTAAAAAAAAATTGGATTGGCTACAGCCAACTTTTTGCAGAAGTTGTCGGCTACTGGATCTTGTCAGCCTGGCAACCGACAACTTTATAAAAAAAAAAAAAAAAAAAATTCGCTGCCAGCCCGGCAGCGATGTCAGAGCTGAAAAAAAAATTGACTGACTTTTGGGTGCTGGGTTGACACAGCCCGGTACCCATAGATTTGCACCAGACTAATGTCAGAGTAATAAATGTCCGAGTTTTCTTTTTTTCAACTATATTCTGAGTAATTAGCCGAATATAGGCATTTGCTTTAAAAAAAATGATAAAATGTAATTGTTTGAAACTCATAATATAATCTATATCTTTCATGTTTGCATGATACAATGGGACAAAAAGAAATTAAAATCCAAAAATTAAAACAATGCCCTTTGCGCCAACATAACGTTCCGGCTTTAAGAATGTGTCAGGCCCATGGCAACAGAGTCTGACATTTTTTTTTTCATAATGTGTCAGGCCCATTCGGTTTACAAAAAAAAAAAAACCATTTGGTCTACAAAACATTCCATTTTTTTTTAAGTGTAAGGTTTGTTAAGTTTTGTAAAGAGTGTTTTGGGTTTATTAAGTTTTAGCAAATTTAGGATTTATTATAAAAGGTTTAGAGTTTACAATTTGTTAATATTAAATATAGTCATTTATAACTTACTTAAATATAGCCATGTTAACGCAACAAGCGTTGCTTAAAATTTTGGACCGTCCCATCAACATGGCATGATGGCCCTTTGGGTTAAGAAAAAAAAATTCTTCTTGACCCACCGTGTCATGAGCTAATTAATTAGAATATTGATAGTTGACAAAAAGTTCAGTCAAATATGACTTCTTGATTGCCTGGTATCAATTTATGTCCGTCGCTCGTATATGGCACGACGGTCAGCAAACTTTTTTTTTTTTTTTTAAAGTCCTTCTGACCGTCGGTCCATGTAGGATCGACGGCCAGAATTTTTTTTTAAAAAAAAATCTTTGTAGCCGTCGCGCCATGTAGGACCGATGGTCAGATAATTTAGAATTTTTTTATAAAAAAATCCTTCAGCCAGGTGATTTAGAAATCTTTGTACAATTGAATTGGGAATTCGGCAAAAATTTTCTGTAAAAATTATTTAAAATCAAAATTTTGAAAAACAATGCATACAGTTTGACAAAATTTTAAAAACAAACATTGGGCTAGCAAGAATTTTAGCATTTTAAAGGAGACTAGGTTTAAAAAATTTGATCCATTTGTTAAAGGATTTAGGGGTTTCTTAAAGAATTAATGTTTACCATTTTAGCAAATTTAAGTTATATAACATGCGTAACTGTTATGATTTGTTAAATTTAGAAAATGATTTAATAATATGATTTAAGTTGAAGTGATTGCGTAATGGATGAAAGTATTGCTTAATATTATTATGATTTGTTAATTTTAACTTTATTATGTATAATGCACACAGAATGTTAAAGGAACCGTAATTGTGTCAAAAAATAAAAAATTATAATATGAATTACGATTTATATATTTGAATTTTCATATAAAATGTAATCGCATAAAAAGATTAATAACATATTTGTACAAATGAAGAATTATTTGCGTGTCATTATTTGATATACGATAATTAGTTTAAATAATTTAATCAATTAAAATAGCTGTAAAACAACTAGTACTTATTTGTTTTGTAGGTATTATCCTATAGGGACCCTTCTATCCAATTATAGGGTATAATAAAATAACTTGTACTTCTTTATTTTGAAAATGTTTAACGTTATTCAAATTAAAAGTGATTGGATTAAACAAAAAAAGTAGACAACTAAATTAAATTAAATGTCATGTGAAATGCATTAAATGGATGAGATATAAAACATCATCGAAGACAAAATAATATAAAAAATTTTTATCTGGCTTCATATTATATCAAAGGCTGCATATATTCTAATTATTTGGTTGGACGCCTAAGAAAATTTTTTTTTTTAAATGAGCAGGAGGATTTAAAATTAAAAAAAAAAAACATTTCTGACCGTCGTGCCAGAAAATTTCTGACATCTCTGACCGTCGCACCAAAAGGACTTTTAAAAAAAAAAAATTTTGCTGACCGTCACGCCATATAGGAGCGACGGGCATAGATTGATACCAGGCAGCCAATGGACCATAATTGACCGAACTTTTTGTCAAGTAACAATATTCTAAACAATGAGCCTAGTGTCATGTAACCACAGCGGATATAGATTAAGACATGAGTTCCAAACAATCACATTTGACCCCCTTTTTTTTGCAAATGCCTACATTCCTATATTCTAGAGAATTGCCACATCACGAAGGATTACACTTCAGAGTGTAGTCCACTATCTCTTCCATTACAATATCACAGGATTCCACTATCTCTTCTTTCATCTCTTCCATTACACTATCCCAGGATTACATTCTACGCAATATAATAGTATGAATCTACAATTAAATCACACATTTATGTTAATAATTCACAATGCATATCTCATAAATAAATAAATTTATTTTCTAAAAAATACTTAATTCCATTGCTCTTGAAAAATAATTTATTAACTTTTGTTGGAAATTTTTTACTTTTCAAATTTTTTAATTTTCTAAAAAAGAATATTATTAGTTTTTTACTTTCAATAATATATATTAAGTTCTCTCAAAAATAGTACATTGCTATTTTCTAAAAAATAATTAAGTAATTAACTCCATCATAACTTAATCATTGAATAAAAGGAAAAATTTTCTATATAAAATTATTAAAACTCTCGTCCATAATGAGAAAATATTGAAACTTTAAAAAATTAGATAAGCAATTAATGAAAATGAATTATGAAGTAGGAGAGTGAGAAATTGAGAAAATGTTAACAATATTTATAGACAAAATTTTAAAGATTGAAAGTGAAAAAAAATATTTTTGTTGCAAACATGTTAAAAATGATGATGCAAAACTTTCTAAAATTGGACCATTACAAATATTGAATAATTGGACAAGGCGAATCCACTTTTCAGCTTTTGTCCCTTCATTATCCGTATAATAGGGGATTGTGTATGTAGTGGGGAAAATACTCCTATCACACCCCACTGTGGATGCTTCAATGAAAGAGGGGATAATGAAATAATGATATGGCATATGGATTCCATCATCGATGCCCTTAGTACAAGTTGAATTTTACACACAAAATAAAAAGCACTAGTGTCCCTAGTCTATGTTTACTAGGGAGATTGCAATATGATACTCCCATTTTGATGTTTGCTAGGAAATTTGCAATGTTTGTACTCCTATTTTATTCTATGCCTTGTTCTTGAAAATTTTCAAATATTTTGTGTCTGTTTGAATTACTATTAGCACACTGGTAAAACCACCTTAAACCCGTAGGGCTCCTCAACAAGAGACTAACCTTAAGCCTTAAGGGCATTTTACTTTTAAGTGCATGATCTTGTATACACTTTTCTACCAAATCATCAAAAGCCTATATGTCGTTTTACCAATGGGTCTATTTGGATTAGCTATTTTTGTAGGGTGTTTTTCAAAAATTTTACTGTAACAACGTCTTTAAAAAACTTTTAATATAAATAATTAGTTGTTTTTAGGAATATTTTTGACGGTGTTTTTGAGGATGTATTTTGAGACATTTTAGAATTTAAAATTTAGGATATATTTTAAAAATAAAAAATAACACCACCATCTACCACCAGCACGCACGGCCACCACCCACCATCACCACCACCCATTACCACCTCTGGTCACAAATTTACCCTAAAATCTCGCTCCCACTGAAGGTTTTGGCGTAGATTTCATTCGCGGCATTACTCTTCACATAAAATGATTGAAAGGTGGTCAAACGAACCATTTACAGCTGGATCTCCTTTTCCCAAACTTACCCACATCAAGCCCAAAATCAACAAAAAAACGCACTAAAACGACCTTCCTCGATTCTATGATACAACCAAAACTCTAAATTATCAAACCAAAGCAAAAATTTCACAAGTTAAAGCAAAAATCAAGATTCTCATAGGAGATTAATTTCCTTTGTTTTTATGCATGAAAACTGCAAGTTCCCATCCTAAACATTCTCACCAAACGATAACCATCAGAATGACTCAAGAACCAATTTGTCAATGGCTCTTCCAATATTCAACGTGATTTTCTAACAAAAAAATTTAATCATTTACTCTTTGTTCACAAAATGTTCAAGTTATAGTCACAAAGGAAAAAGCATCATCACTCAACACTCAGCCAAGAAAGATAAAGCAAAGTTTGCACAAAAGGGAATGAAAGAAAAGACCTTCATTAAATTGGTAGCCTTTCAACTCGAACAAGGAGAATTTGGTGAAGAAATCCATGAGTCCAAGCTGTCCTTTGTCCCACTTTCTTCTTCTTTTGTTCCTTTTTCAGTGTGTGATTTGTGAGAGAGTGCAAAGGGAAAAAGTGAGGTGTGTGTGCAGATTTGTTTGTGTTAGTGTGTGCATGTGTTTTCTGGTGTGTGTGTGTGTGTGTGTGTGTAATCTGTGTGTACGCGTGAGAACTGCGTGTGTGAGTATATGTTAATGTGTGCAATGAGTGCAATGAGTGCATGCTGGTGATGGAGAGAGAAAGCCGAGAGAGAGGGAAATATAAGTGAGTGTGAAAACCGAGAGAGGAGGGATGGGGGAGAGTAAAATTATTATAATTTTTTTCATTTTCTTAAAATTAAAAGACCAAACTTAGTGCCCAAGACATAAAATAAAAGTCACATTATTTAATTAAGATTATCAATTTGCCCTTCCTCTTCCCTCTTTTTCTTTCTTCATTTTTTTTTTCAAAAAACCTACAAAATAAGAAAAATTCATGTTAGAATTATGAAAATAAATGACCAATAAATAGATAAAAATTTCAAGAAAATTTTGAAAAATAGCAAAAATTTGGTGTCTACACGACACTGGACGTTACACTGATGAAAATTGTTGAAAGCTTGCATTTTGTAAACATGACAGCTTTTTATTAGTTTGATTGTCATATACATGAAATGCGACCTCTATTCAGTAAACAAACACTGGTTTTCCTCCTCCCTACCCTGTCATTTGGTGTCTACATGACACTGGACGTCACACTGATGAAAATTGTTGAAAGCTCGCATTTTGTAAACATGACAGCTTTTGATTAGTTTGATTGTCGCAAACATGAAATGCGACCTCTATTCAGTAAACAAACACTGGTTTTCCTCCTCCCTACCCTGTCATTTGTCTCCCTCTCCCTCCCTAAACCAAGCCGCAGCACTTCCTCCCATCTCCTATTCTTTATATTGTGTGAAGTCTGTTAATCGAAAGGGCCTATGAATGACTACCGACATTGAGAAGGAAGATGCTTTTAGAGATCCCTTCCTTAAGGAAAGGTCTGTTATGGACCCCGTGCATGGGTGCACCAAGACACAAACATGTGGAATCATAACTTGACCCACATATTTGTGTCTTGGTGCTCCCATACACCAAATCCATAATAGGAAAAGACCTTCCTTAATCTCTTTCCTTTTCCCACCAAGAATAATTAACAAACACCACCACCACAAGACATGGTATACTCGTGCTTGATCCTCCTGCTGACGTGCAAGCCAAACATGATTCTCAAACTCAAGAAGTCCGGACATGGCCGTCCTACTTGCACGCAAGGTGGACAAGATCCTTAGGCTGAACACAATAACTTAACCAACTTGTTTCAAGTAATTAGTTACAAAGATATAAACCCTATAGTGGTATTTAATCAACACTCACAACAAAACCTAGATCTACAAACTTACATGTTGAAGATTGGTATGCAAACCTAAACATAATGCATTCACCTAAACCTGACGGCTAAGCTAGTAGCTTTTTATTCAAAACTTATTACTGTTAGTACTATCTTTATCCAAAGCCTAGTCCTCATTATTTGTAATGCAATGGATCTGAAAGGATCTAGGAGGCCAAATTTTAAATTGCTACCACCACCAAATAAGGACAGTCGCAATTGCTAGGTGCAATATTATATCATTTATAAAAGGTGACCTCCTTTCAGGATTTCTTACCCTCCCTTTGTTTCCTTTTCCTTTTCTATATTACAAAGGGGGTCGCATTCGAATGCAATGCCATTTGAATGCAACCTCCATTGAATGTTTCATTTGTGAAATGCGACCCTCACCCATCCCGGCATTGCTCAAAAAGCGACCATTACACTTTAAGCATAATAAGAATCAATATAAGCACTCAAAACACTTTCATTTTTTCCTTTTCTTGTAAGCACACACTGACACATATTATATATGTATTCGTATTCTATCTCTACATGTGTATGGGTATACAAGTAACACAAGGAATTACGAACCTTACACATGATTGCCTACCCTGTAAAATGAAAAGACATGTGAATCCAACAAACTCTTTCCAAAGAAACTATGAAATTATGCTAAAGCTTTGTTAAAAACCAGTTGACACGTTGCATTATCCGTGACTACAAAAATAAGCTTACTGAAAAGCAAGCCATAAACTTCCTCAGCATACCGAAAACTAGTTAAGTATGTCGTTAAGAAGCAGAATTCATACCCATCATCTGTATAAGAATTTCAATTAAATTTGTAGTTTAATAGCTAAAACAAGTTAAGCAAAGCATAATCCATTACTCATACAAAGATAAGAACACAAACATCGCATATTGATAAGACCATAACCAAAACAAATGCTTTCAAGTAGCCTAGGACAATGATTATACTTCTCAAAACTAAACTTCTCTATAGATTGTAAATGCTAACAAGTGACTAAAATTAGATTTGAGCAGTAAGACTCCTGAACTACCAACTACCCTTTTAAAAAAAGGTATCCACCGATTTAGCTCCTATTCCACAAAAAATTGCATGCTCCTGTTTATTAAAATACTTACAATGTACAGCTGCATGGACAACACAATTACATGTGAACCCTTATAAAAATTCCAAAAAGAACAGAAAATGAAAAAAAGAAAGCAAATCTTTTAAGCCAACCTAGTTACATTTGTAATTCATAGAGCACTCCAAAAATATTGGCCGCAATAAATTGTTTACAAATCTCTTTTTTTAGCCTGCAACTGGTGAAGCTGCATTAGTTATCGTAAAGATTAGTGTTTGGAGGTTGTTCTCCTTTATTTCCTGGTTAAACACTGATAATGAAATTCTCAAAGTAACACAGAAAACAGAGGGAAATTTTCCCAAAAAAAAAAGACGTCATTTATAGAGAATTAACACATAAGCAAGTCTATTGTCGAACAAAGTCGATTGTTACTACATTATATGCTACTACTTAGTTGAAGCGAAGTGCAGCAGATAACTCTAGCATGAAAAATTCAGGAAATCAAATATAGGTTATATGTACCTTTAAACTAGACATGAAGGACGTAAAACCTGCCAATTGCTTATTGTCTCAGTCCTCAGTGGGAGAAAAGCCATAGCCAATCAAAGAAATGGTGCGGGCTGACCTGAAAGCATTGAGCTTCGTGTCCGCCCCGTGTGGATATTTATTTTTAAAATGTGGATATAAGTAAGGCTCAGATCCGTGATGTAATCAGGCAAAGAAGGAGAGACACCGCCATGGCTGCAAAACCACAGTTGCCCAAAGTCAATCCACAGGCCATCCGGGTTGCCCCGCCAAGATGCGGGTCGAATAACCTCAATGCCCAGATGAACCCAAGAGCAATCGAATTCGATCGTCACAGCCTATAACAGTGGAAAGGAGCTAAGTCTGAGATAAAAAAGGAGATTGGATTGGTAAAGGTGGTGTTGGAAATGTGAGGTAGAAGCCAGTATTCCATATTAGCAATAACCAGAGATCCACCGCCCCAGAGATCACATAGAGATATATATATATATACACATAAATACACGCACGAGTACTTAAAAACTGAGAAGGGTTGTTAATTTTTCTTTCGATTTGAATGAAATCATTGGCATGCAGAGAGAGGGCAACAACCCTCAGAGAATTCCCCCATTTTTTATTTCTCTCTGCTGCCTCAGTCCATTTCTTGAGTTCGTTCTCAGAGACGAAACAAATTAGCTGGCTCCGGTGTTTATGAAACTCTCCTACCGTCGAGGCTGTTTTTGCCCTTTCACGATTGTCTTGGACCGATACACCAGTCACCAGCCCATTGGCCCAAAACGGGGACCCCGCTGGGTTTTGTGGCTGAAATGGATTTCGTAAGGTAAGAAGAAGCTCTCTCCCTCGACCGGTTTAAGATTGAGGACTTACTACTAAGTACTAAGCCAAATTTGTCAACTTATAGTAAAGCAAGTGATGTTGCTTCTACTTAGAGCTGTTAAGTCAATCGAGTAGCTCGAAAGCTCGTTAGAGCTCGGCTCGTTAAGGCTCAAGTTCGGCTCGTTAATTTTGGTTAACGAGTCGAGTTCGAGCTCGAAACATGCTCGTTTAGTTAACGAGCCGAGTGATACTCGAGTAGCTCGTTAGAGCTCGTTAATGAAGGGCATATTTGTCATTTTAGAAATCAAAATTATAAAAATTAAAAATTATAGGTTTTCATTAAGGTTAATTTGCACGAGCTCGAGCCACATGTACATTTAACGAGTCGAGTTCGAACACATTTTAAAGCTCGTTTTCCTAACGAGCTCGAGTCAAGTTCGGCTCGAATTAAACTCGAGTCGAGCTCGGCAACCAAATACTCGGCTCGACTCGGCTCGATTAACAGCTCTAGTTCTGCTTGTAGAACTAAATTAACTTGATCTTTTAGATTCCACAACTAAAAATAAATAATTAATTGCAAATCATACCAAATTAAAAAGTTTTACGAATCCATAAAGGGTGTTATACAAGTAATTTGCCCTCTATTTTTTTAAAAAAAGAATATGATGACTAATTATAAATAACAATAGAGTATGGGATAATAGTCTTCTGGGGTATAGTTTTTCATTTTTTTTAGTGTTTGTGGAAGGGCTCGAATTCATACTCACTTGCACTTGAATCCTCCCACTTGCATTCTTTTCCCTGGTTTTACATCCTTTACTAATTCTACTTATAATTAGAAGACGTGCAACAAAAATATTTATAAAGCATGACAATAAAATCTAAATGTACAAATAACAAATATATATATATCAAATAAATTCAACAACTGTATTGTATATGTGTCATGCTTCAACTACAGTTGCTACTCCAATTTACCATGAAAGAAGTATCAGTGGGTGTGTTAGGATATTAAAAATACATTTTAAATATGATTTCAATTGCATCATAAATATGCTTTTCAAATTTTTTTTATATTCAAATTTTTTTCTCACATACATCACGTCACAAAAAATATGCTATAATAATTATTTCAAATAATATTCTATTAAAACATACTCAATTTTTATTTTTATTGGAAAAATGACGTAGTTGATAAATACTTAGTTCTTACTTTTGAGGTTTATCACATTGAAAATAAATTACTTCAGTAACTCACATTAAAATTTGTATTTTAATCAAGGGATAATTTCAATAACTTCTTTTGAAGTTTCTAACAATTTCGACCACCTCCCATAAGGTTTGAAAAATTATGCTTATCTCCATTGATGCCATGAAAAGACTATAATAACCTTCACAAACTTCACAAAATTTAAGTGAAAATGAGTTTAAAAGAGAAAAATAGAAATTCTTGTTTGGTAATACTTCTTTGTCCTAAAACTCTAATGTTATTTAATCTAGTACATTATACTTCATTCCCATTTTTTCTAACTAGATTTGTTAATCAATTTACAAAAATTTGACCAACCAATTAGGGAGGCATTAATTAAAATAAGTATTTTCAAAAATTACTTAACCAAAAAAAGTATAAAGTACTAAAAAGGAATGCTTTTAAAACATGTCTTAAATTTTCCTACAAAATACTAACTTGAAATTTTACCCATCGGATAATGGTGATAGTTGACTTTTTAGCATTTAATTTGTTTTACATATTAGAGTGGGGTAATATTGGATATTCATTGGATTTTTTTCACTTGCATCATCAATTGCTACCAAGATATAATTTGTAGGGGAGATTTTTACAATTTTTCAAACTTTAGAGGAGATGGTTGCAATTATCAGAAACCTCAATCGAGGTTTCTAAAATTATCCCTTTAATCAATTGTTATAAAATTTGTATTTTAAGTCTATCTTCAAGGAGTTACTTATAATTGCTTCTTCTCGCATTTTCAAGAATATCATGGCAAGATTTGTGAAATAGAAGATAGGACGATTAAATATTCATAAGAAAGCCATAAGTTTTGGGAATTTTGTAAATATGTCATAGGTTACTAGCATATACACATGCCCATATATATATATATATATATATATATAAATTCAAATGTGCTTATTCATATGTACACATAATTCACCAAACTGCATGTTTGTATTGATGCACATATGCTTATACGTGCAAATTTATATCTGTATATTGTAGATATCAAGTATATCAAAATGCACACTTTTATATGGATGCATAGTTTTGTTTATCAACTTGCAAAATTTTTTTTTAAAGGCACATTACTATGAGCCTTATTCAATCATTTAAGAATAAATTTAGTAATTATTGCCTGAACCATAACTTATGCACCATTTACAAATTTTTCTAATGGACATTGAATCTTCCCATCCTCATTTTCCAGATTTTCCTCCTTTTTTTTTATTTTTTAATGTTGTTTCCTTTTTTTTTTTGACTTCTACTCGTGATTCGAGCTCTCTCTGCTGCAGCACTAGAAGCTAATACAAGAAGAAGATAGAAGTGGGTCACTTCGATCTTGTCTGTGAATAAAACAGAAAATGGTTTCCCAAATAATCTTAAATCCAAACACACTCATAATCTGATCTGAGGGCTTCAGGCCTCAGCCAAAACTCAAGAAAAATGTATGAGGCTGCGGAGAGCCGGGGAGTTCTTAAAGGGTTGTTGCCCCTCTCTGTATTGCCGATGATTTCCTGCCCAAAAATACATGCTTAAACAGCCCTTTGCAGAAAAATCAAGATGCTGAAAAGAACCATGTTGTTTCCCGGGTGCGTTTGGTAACTGGTGATGTTTGTGTTTTGAAATCGAGGACCGTTTTGGGTTATTTCTCAAAAATCTGTCTTGTTTGCTTTAGAATATCGTTGATGCTGTCGCTGTTGCTGTATTATTCCACAACCATAATCTATAAAGCCTTTTCTTTTGCTTTTAAGGCTCTGAGACTTCAGTAATATTCAGGCTGTGATGATTGCAGGAATCTTTTCTTGAGTTTGTTGTTGTTGTTGGGGCACGGAGTTCATCCGACCCGTATCTTGGCTGGGCAACCCTGATGGCATGTGAGCTGAGATTTTCTCATTCGCATATGCAACTGGGAATTTTTGCAGCCATGGCGGTGTCTTCCTCCATTTTGCCTCCTCTTGATGCGGATCTGAGCCTAGTTGAACTGTGCATGATGATTTACTGTCTTCTCTCAACTTCCCGAAAGGAATGAGTTTGTTTAGTTTGCATTCGACATTTTTACTAGGTTTTATCGTGCTTTTAGACTCAATTTTTGAATGCTATAATTCTATCAGTATTTTGACCCAAGAAAATGAAATATCTGATCGGCACTAGGGAAGATAATTTATTTTCTGGCTACCAAACTTGCTTATTGCTCTATAATTTTGGCTTGAAAGCTAAGTGAACTCGAGTAATATGCCTACTTAAGCTAGATAGTAGCTAGTGAAAGCTTAGGTTTTTTGACGATCAAATGATCACATTTATGTTTCTGTAGTATGGTTGAGCTATTTTTCTTTGATGTTACTTAGGTCAATGCATGAGCTCTTTCTCTGTGATGCTACGTAGGTGAATACTTCATCTCTTTTTAGTTGAGGTAGAATGAAAACGGAGTGGTGATATCACTTTCAGTCCTGTGGTATGTTTTGATAAATCTTGCTTGGACTTGAGTGTGTTTGGATAGAGATAATTTGAAAAAAAATAATTTGCCTTACAAATCCCAATCACATTTTTATCTTTCCAATTATCTTTTTATCTTACATACATCACATCACAAAAAGTGCTACGGTAATTATCTCAAATAAAACTTGTTAAAGTTCAGCAGTTCAGCCTGAAATAGGAGGTGAAATTCTTCATGTTGATTGATACTCGAAGGCGCGAGGGACTAAAGGTTCTCTCTTTATACATCATTATGGGGCTAATTATGGACAGAAAGTCTAGAATTGCAGGTTGTTCATCATTTGTTGCTATACTAACTTGAACTGAAAGCAGATCAATCTAGACATTCATGCATTTGTAGGTAAAAATAGAAAACCAAAGACACCACAACTTTGTGAACTAAGCAGTCTTTTAACTATAGACTGGAGTGACCCCTTATCCCTGATGCATATTGCTATCTTGTTTGTGATCATGATAACGAGGACATATCTTTTTTTTTTTTGGTTGCGCTGTTGGTGGAAGACTTTGATTCAATTGTTGCCATCTCTCGATCGAAGAGTCGAACTAGGCTTTCTTCGCGTCCTTTTCTTCTTCCTGGTGAAATTCTTGCGGCTCTTGTTTCTGTCAAAGAACCAGAGGCCATAGTGATCCAGTTCTCTGGAAACTCATTTACATGAAACATAGGCATGGGATTGCGAACAAAGAAATGAAGAAAACTCTGCGATAAAGCTCAAAAGAAAAACGAAGCATCACACTCCAGAGAGATGGGAGGGCCAGAAGCTTTTAGGCATTCACTTCTCTTATAGGTTAAGTTTATAAGTATTCTGACAGGATCTGCCAAGCTTTTCTATTGTGGCACCAATATTTTAAAACGTAGCTTCTCCCTTCTCTTTTGATCTCAGCTCTTACAAATGCCATTGTTTCAGTAAACTCTGAAAGCCTGTATTGATCAAGACCACCTACAAACTGTGGAAGCTGTTTTGATCCTTAAATTTGATGGTTTTTTTATCTAAAAAAATAATAATGAGCACGATTTACTTTGGATTGCCCTGCTGCTTCAATTGATTTTTTTTTTTTTTTTTAAAATCTCAGATCTTGCAAATGCACTCTGTGTCACGACACTTTTAAGGGCTGCATTCACCATGAGTCTAAGCCCGCCTACAAACTTTTGAAGCTGTTTTGACTTTTGGTCCATATCAGTGTCGCGCGACCATTTTTATTTACGACAACAC